AAAAATTCCCCCTTGCCCCTTGCAGTCCCCCCCCCCCCCCCAAATGATCTACTTTCTATCACTATAGTTTTGCCTTTTCTAGATTTTCATTACAAATGGAATCTTAACATAGTAAGATCATTTTAATTTAAAGGCGGTATAGCAGAAGAAAATAATTTTAGCCAGGAGCTACAGGTCTAATTCCTTCCATTTGTATATGACAGGGACTTGCCATGAGGTGTTGAAGCCTTGTTTCACTGACTTGGAGAGACTGGACCTAAATGGCGCAGCATGACTTTGCTCCAGCCTGGCTTAATTTTCCTACTCCACCATCATCAACAAAGGTACTCTTTTCTGCATCTCTCTTTTTGGTTTTTTTTTGTCTGCCACTTTCATGTTCTACACAAATGTAATCAAAACGAAGACTTCATGTCTTTGTAGAGAAGTACATTTATATTACCTAAGTTATTTCATATTTAACTTTTTGGCCGTATTAGATAAAAAGCCAGTTTTCAGTATACCCATCAACACACTAAACCGTTTACTTCAAAATTGTCTTTTGCAGTAATCAAAGTTCCATGTATTTTAATTTATACCAGTCAGTTACATTGAACATTACGTATGCATCTTACCTTTTTCTATAGTTTTTTTTTTTACTACCTTATATTGATTTCCTTTTTAAATAATAATGATACCTAACACATGGTGTACTTCAGTTTTTAAACTGCTTTGCCAAATATTATCTAAATTGAACATAATTCCATGAATGTGGTGGTTTAGAATTATTCTTAGTCCTTATGTACTCATTTTAAATATTGATCTACTTTATCCACAGAGAGAAAATGGAATGAATAGGGTGTGCACAGTTATCCTGGGAAGAAGGTGGTTTTATCAGGGCTGTCTTTGACTTGTCTTTTTCCCTAATCTCTGTAAAGCTGTCAGCTTCATTTGATATTACACCCATCTGTTAGGCTCCATTAATTGGCTGTTGATTACTCTATTGTTCTTAATAATGCCTGGGGCATAACGTTTTCTGTGCTCTGATCCAGTTTAATTAGGACTGGGGTGGTTTTTGAAGTCCATCTTCGGAGGTTTGTTCTGAATCCAGTAGGGCTCTCAACTATCTGCCTGGTTCTCTCTGAACTATCTGGCCTATGGTTTAGCTTATTGCTCTTCAGTGAGAGGAGCTACCAGCCTTCTCTTGTTTTTTCATCACCAAGGTCTCCATTGTTTCTGAGATCATCCTTAGGCTTGAACTTTCTTCCTAGGCTCAGTTTCAACACCCTGTGCAAAGTCTCTGAGCTACTACTACAGGCACTGGTTGGGGCAGTAGCCTGTGGTCTTTTCAGTTTGCCTCTCAGTGTATAACGTCTACCCTTTTAAGTAGCTGTAGCAGGGGCAATTGGGGCCTCAGTATTCTTGGCCTGATGAAGCTGGGGTAGAGCTTTCATCCTGTGAGTGGGGGATGGGCAGAGGAAAGGAGCCCCTGATTTCTCGACTACACTCACCAGGAACTTACCTTCTTCAATTGGGAGTTAGAGGGGATGAAAAATGCTGGCAGCTTGTCCCTCCCAGTGAGCTGTAACCCTATTTTAGGAGCTGAGAGAGGAGGGAGCCCTGTCTTTTTGGTCACATCTGACCAGAGTGGATGAGAAGGGTAGTGGGTTGTGGCTTAAGAAGTTCTAGTAGTTCTAACAAGCACAAATGGTGAAATCTATTTAAAAAATAAGCAGCTAAGTATTTAAAGTCTCTGAAAGTAGTCCTAAGACAACATAGCAAATGAAGAAAATCTACTAAAACTTGGTAAGAATTTCTGTACTATTCTTCTGATAACCTGTTTTAACCTTTTCCTTGTAGGTATTATTTTTTAAAAAATTCGAGATTTTTGAAGTCTTTCCATATATTTGGAAGCTTTTTCTACATAAATAAGTATTTGGCACATGACTAAAATTTCAGGAGTAATGTGAACTTTGTGACAGTGTTACATATCAGGACTAACTTAAGAAATGTTCTTTTTACTTCAAAATAAAAATAGAAATAGAATAATTTGTACAGATATATTTACAAGCATCCAAGACTTGTAAGGTATTGAAATTATCTATTTTCAAGAAGTGCTAAGAAGAAAGTTCTCCAAGCAGAGTGCTAGAAATGGGCTTTTTTGTTAGATTATATGCCACTAATGATTCCTTTTAACCAGTAGTCTGATTGTAAAGTGGAAAATACCAGTATTTTTCTTGTTATAAAAGCCATAATATAATATTCTTTGATTAGTTTACCTTGTGGGGAACTTTTGATGGGTCTTTCTTCCAGCTTTGTCTGATGTGCAGATGTAAAACAACTGTAGGTGGACATAGATGCAATTGTCTAAATATTTGCCTCTAAATAATGAAATTAGAGGAGAAAGAGTCCATATAATTAAAAATTTAACCCTTTATTTCCAGAAAAAGTAAATTCTTATCTTTCTCATAACAGTTAATTTCTTATCACTTTAGAGATTTTTTTCACAGTAATTTATACATTGGGTTTAGTCAAGCAATGTTCATTGTGAGTAAATAGTAAATTCTATAGATATTTTGACTTTTCTAGACTTATATAAGCCTTGTGTAAAAAGGAAAAAAAAAAGCAAATCGTTGTTCATCTACTCTCAATACTGATTACTTCTCAGACCAGATATGTGTGGGATTCCCTCCTATATACCAAGGAATTCTTCAGCAGACACCAACTGGGCATCCTATAATTCACTTCAATTTTGATGTTGTCTACCTGGAATTAGTGTTGGATCCCACAGGTTGAAGGCTCAGTTCCACAAGACTCTCCCCACTTCACATGCCAATAGCAAGTCCAGATCACTCGTACGTCTGACCCGACTGGCTACAAACCAGGGTCCTTGCGACCCCCTCCTTTTATTTGACTAATGCTAGGATGACTCAAAGAACTCAGGGGAAACACTTATGTTTCTCAGTTTATTATAAAGGATACAGATGAACGGATGGATAGGCTGAGGTACGGGTATGTGTGTGGAGCTTCCATGCCCTCTCAGGGCATACCACCCACCCTGCACCTTCGTGTGTTCACCAACCCAGAAGCTCATCAAAACTAGTTTTCCAGGAGTTTCTGTAGAGCCTGATCTTCAGCCCCTCTACTCCCACCCTCTCCCTGAGGTTGGTGGGTGGGGCTTAAAGTTCCAACCCTCTAATCATTTGGTCTTTCTAGTGACTTGCCTCATCCTAAGTAGCCTCTTTAGCATAAACTCAGGAGTTATCCTAGGAGCTCATTATAAATAATAAAAGAGACACTTCTTTCACTCAGGAAATTCCAGGGGTTTTTGGAGCTCTATGACAGGAATGTGGACAAAGACCAAATATAATTTGCAGAGACTCATCCTAATTACATGCTCTATAGTGCTTTATTACTACATTGTTTTCTACAATGCTCTATACTTAAAATTACTCTAAAGGTACTATATTAAATCTAAGGAGTCGTTTATTGTAAGATGCCCTTTTTATGTTCTACTTTGGAAGAAAGAAAAACATTGTCAGTTAAACTAGTGTGCGTACATTTTAAAAGCAATCTCAATTTCAGAAATGATAAAATGTAGAAAACACTTTCGTAGTAACTTGAGGACTTGGAATTGGTTAGAATCAATCCAGCTGGCCTAAGAGCTGTCTTCCATTTTCTTTTTTCCGTAGTGCAAAGGAGTCAAGAGAGGGCTTGATCATCTCTTTGTCTTTTAAGCTCCACCAAGCTGAGACATTTATCTCAGATTTTCAGACATATAGGCAGTTCTTATAAAATAGTTTATTAAAGTCAGCTCTTATGGGAACAGTTTTATAATTCAGAAATTTGTTCCCTGATAAGGACTTACCAGGTCTGTTAAATAAAAATTATAGGAGGCCATGGTTTTGGACTGATTTCCTGCACTACATCCCAAAACTAGGCTAGAAGTCAAAATGGAGCCACCCCTGCTAAGTTCCACATCACTGGATCTAAACTAAGTTGTGGCCTGATCTTCCAAGAAATCATGAGAGAGAGAGAACAGCCAATTTTCCAAATAGGCCAGATTAAATCTTCAATAGGCATGGTAATAAAGTTCTCTCTGCTTTAATCCTTAACACAAAAAGCATAGCCTGAAGTAACCTGATGTTAAGTAATCAGTTACTTTACTAATATTCTGTTTCCCTGTCCCCATCTTACAAGGAAAGTAACTTTGAAATGACCAATTCACTTTTTGTTCTTTGTTTCTGCTTTCTTCGGCTTTTCTGTCTATAAAACCAACCTCCTCTGCTCAGCTCATTGGAAAACTTGCCTGATTCTAGAAGCTCAGTAAAGCCAATTGAGGTTTTTAACTAAATTTGTTGTAAATCTATCCTTTGACAGTTCATAATAAGTTGAAAAATATGCATTGAAATGACAAAACTCTCCTAGACAATAGAATTTTAGAGTTTGAGGGTGGATTTTAGCAGTTATCTAAACTTACCTCTTTATTTTTTATACAATATGGATTTTTTTAACCGCTTTGCTGTTTTCACCTAGCTAATTAGAGTAAGCCTGGACTAGAATCCAGGACACATTTGCTATTCTGTGCTCTTTCATAGGGCTCATTTTGGAATTCTGTAAAATGATTAAAAATTCCATTTCAAGGGCCGGCCCATGGCTCACTTGGGAGAGTGTGCTGATAACACCAAGGCCATGGGTTCGGATCCCTATATAAGGATGGCCGGTTACTCACTTGGGAGAGCATGGTGCTGACAAACACCAAGTCAAGGGTTAAGATCCCCTTACTGGTCATCTTTAAAAAAAAAAAAAAAAAAATCCATTTCATAGACTATAAAAAGGGACTATTGGGCCGGCCCGGTGGCGCACTGGATAGTGCGCCGCTTGGGAAGCGCGGCGGCGCTCCCGCCCGAGGGTTCAGATCCCACATACAGACCGGTTCCCGCTCACTGGCTGAGCGAGGCGCGGGAGCAACACCGAGGGTTGCAATCCCATTGCTGGTCCCCGGTCCGGTACGGGGGCAACACTGAGGGTTGCTATCCGTTGCCGGACATGGAAAAAGACAAAAGACAAAAAAAAAAAAAAAAAAAGGG